GCACACACACACACACACACACACACACACACACAAGTCCAGCTTGATTTTTAAGCTGCCAGGTCCAGGACTCGAACCATGGTTGACTATGCAGGAGTCCAGAGCTTTAACCATCATGCCATCTAGATTTTAATTCTGTTCTGCTCTTCCTAGATTTCTGACTGTGACTACGTCTCTTCATCAGAAAGAAATGGTGATGATAATATTCGCCCTGTCTATTCACAGTTATGATGAAGATAAAATGTGACAATGAATATAAAATTGTTTCAAAAATGGTTAAATAATACAGGAACATGAGATGCTACCTATAAATCACACTCTTCCTGAAGGTCTCTCACATGTATAAATATCAGGGGCTCTTCTCAGCACCTTCAGAATCAGAACAAATTTTTGGAGAACAGAAAAGTCCTGAGTCTCCAATGTTACCTGGTCTAGATCTTCTTTTTTTTTTGAAGAGGTTTTTGCTATAGGTCACGTGCACTCGCCAGACAGACAGAGAGAGACAGAAAGATAGAAAGCGAGAAATCACCCCCCAGGGGGGATGGCCACGCCACAGTCTCTTCTCCTCCATTCTCCTCTCGGGATCCTGGGCATGCACATACACGTGCCCCGCGTGTTTTAAGCCACCGGGACCGGGACTTGAACTGCGGTCGACTACGTGGGAGTCCAGCGACATTGCCATTATGCTAACTGCTGGTCCCACCTGGTCTAGATCTTCTTAATGAAACAGTGATGCATCATCTGCTTTTCTAATTAGCTCATCCTTTCCAGCAAATCTGTTACAGAGCATCAGGAACATACTGCTCAAGAGAAACCAGATCTCACATAGTGATGGTTCGATTTCTGGGTCCAGCCTGTGACATGATGGACACACACATGTGTATCCGAGATCCTACAGACTGGAGCACTAGAGGAAGATCACCTTGTGATCAGACCCTGGGAAGGGGGTTGACCATTTCTCTCCCTCTCTCTCTCTGCATGTGCTCTACCATGACTAAAGAAAAAAAAATTATATATATTTAAAATGTCCTTAGTAAATTGTTACCTAGGAGTGATCATAGCTGGAGGAGAAAGGCCCTAAAAATGTTAATTATCTGAGGCACAGAGCTTAACATTCTGGACTCCGAGATGGTATTTAAGCCTATTTAGATTTTCTCTAAATTCTTTGAGGCTAATGCAACATCTGAATGTGTCTAATAAACTCTAATTATTTGTGGAAATGGTAGATGTGAGAAGACCAGATTAAATCCACCGATAATCCCAAAATCTCGTGGTAACCAGCAGCGGCGCACTTTTCCCACCAAGCCCAGCCCTGGAGGCACTCACTACCAGAATGGCAAGGCCTCCTTGAGCTCCAGGCTTTCCTTTCTCCTGCTCACCCTCTGGTGGAGATGTTAATGAGCCGCCAAACCTCTAAGAAGAAAAAAAAAGTGCAGAGGAGCTGGCCTGGGCCAGGACCAAGTGGACGGACGATGAGTTACTGGAAGGCCAGCATCCTAGCATGAAGGGGCAAAGCACACTGCCAGTGCCTTACGAGCCCAGGGCTGCCCCAGCGGAAGCTCAGTCAGAGCATCGCTCCGTGCCCAGGGTGACCAGCCTCATTCATGGAAGGGAGTGCAGCTGGGCTGCAGCCTCCAGCCTCCTCTGCAGCGCCGGCTCCACACAGCACCAGGCCTGGACCAGTGCAGGTGCTGGTTCAACTGAGACACACAGTCTACTACCAGGACGCACTAAGGCAGAGGAAGACCAGGACTTCGTTTTTAGGACCACTCTGTAGATCCCACTGGACTTGGCTTTAGTGCTGCTTCCATCTTGATGCTTTTATTTTTTTTTCTGACTCAGGACAGCAGTTCCACCGTCCTTTTGAACCAAGGTCTAGGACTAATGAACATACAAACTAGGCATCCTCTGTGAGGTTAAGTAAATTTCCAAAATAAATTACACCAGTGAAACAAATCAGTGCAAGTCAATTTAGAATAAAGTTGTTTTAAAAGTCCAGAAAATATTTTATGAAACAATCTAATGTCTGCTTTTGGTGACAACCCACAAAGAGGGGGGGTTGACTTTTTTTTTTTTTTGAAAGGTTTTTGTTATAGGGCCAGCATGCTCGTCAGACAGGCCAGACAGAGAGAGACAGAAAGCGAGAAATCACCCACCGCCTCCTTCACACACACCCCCACCCCCGTGGGGATGGCCACGCCGAAATCCCTTCTCCTCCATTCTCCTCTCGGGATCTTGGGCACACACGCACACGCGCCTGGTGTGAGTTTAAGCTGCTGGGTCCGGGACTTGAACTGCGGTCGACTATGCGGGAGTAGAGAGAGAGAGCCATTATGCCAACTGCTGGTCCCAAGGCAAGTTGACTTTTGATAGGTGTATTTCGTCTTCCTTCTCCCTTTCCTAGACCATTTTCATGTATGTTGGAGCCCTCTGGACTAGCACCTCTGGCTATTTGGGGCTCAAATGTGTCGGGAATTAAATCTGGGAGCAGGGAGAAGAGAAACCATTTTCATGTATGTTGGAGCCCTCTGGACTAGCACCTCTGGCTATTTGGGGCTCAAATGTGTCGGGAGCAGGAAGAAGAGAAATGGTGGCAATTTAGTGAAGGGAAGAGAACCAGGCCAACCATTCACTTCTCGTAGTGGAATGACAGAAATATGTCTGCACGGATGAGGTATGGTGGAGAAAAGAGAAAGTGGGAAGGTCCCATCCTCTTAACTATACAAAGCTGGCTCCTGTTTACGCTTTCTTAACCACAGCACTCAGTATAAAAGTGTATGTTCTAAATCCATGTTCTTTAGGCTCACACCGCCTGAAAACGGGGGCTGATTTTGGGTCTCCAGATGCAGAGAAGGTGGGTTGGAGACCAGGGGCAGCAGAAACCCCGGAGAAGCTCGCCCCCTTTCCCGCCAGGCGCAATGCCCTCTGAAGGTTGGAGCGCTTCTCCCCAGGCTCAGAGCCTTGTGCGCTGAGAGCGCCCCTCGCGGCCGCTCGCAGGGCTCCGGTCTCCATCGGCGGGCGGCACAACCTGGGTGCAGAGGTGGTCGACCGTGGGGCTGCTCCTGGGGATCGGTGGTTGTCTCCCGCACAGCCCCCTCCACGCCCCTCTGCCCGCCGGGTACCCCAGCCGCCTCCTGGGCTGCCTGCGCCATCCAGGCTCCAGCGCCAGGAAGCCCTTTTGGCGTCCCCCTAGCGCCACCGGCTTCTCGGCTGGCGAGCGTCCTCGGGCCCTCTTTGCTGCCCTCCTGTGGCCATCAAGGGGAAGACAACTCGGCTGCTTCTGGGTCCTGGCCACCCAGGAACGCCGTCGTCGCCGCCACTTCGCTGACAGGCACCCAGGTCGCGAGCTGATGCGCTGCGTTTAGCGGGCAGGGAGGGCTGCGCTCCGAGGGCAACAGGGCTAACCCTGAGGGAGCGAGACCCCTGGGATCTTCGAGAAGGTTCTAGCAACTCCGCTTACCCCGGACCCCTTGTTTCTAAGGCTGTTTTCCCAGACCAGCGAGGACAGGCGGGAGACTCTTCCAGCAGCAGTTGCAAAGGCTAGCCGTCTAGCTGTTGGTTCACCATAACGTGACTTCTGTAGAGGAGGACACTGAGTCTGCAGTGGGAGGTGGGAGATGGGGTTTAAGGCAACTGAATAACGAGCCGCCACCTCTGCAGATCCCAGCTTAGGTGTTTATTGCGTTTTAGGTTCTCCTTTTCACAGCCTGCACTAGCCTAGAGGGAGTTACAAATGACTTCCACATCCTGATAGTTCGAGTTTGCGTGGCCTTCCCTTAGCCAGCCCAGCCAGCGAGCTTTCATCTGCCAGAAAATGTGTTTCCCATCCAACGTTGTTCACAAGGACAAAATATAACTGTCTACAAACGGTGAGCTTCCTGTCTGGGTTCCCCTCCCACCCTGGCTCCCCACTTAGGAATAGACGTGAGGAACAGAGATTAGTTGAAAACCTGTTTTCCTTCGGACATCCCAGGTTTCTGTTGGTGTAGTGTCCCGTGTCAGGTGAAGTTATTCATGAGGCTTTGAACAGGGCTGAGAAGTTTTACTCCTTCTCCCCAGAAATTCCGACTGGATTTAAATCACTCTCCAGTTGCTGCAGTGGGTTTATGTTTTATGGGAGCTCTCCAGTGGGCTTTGAGGTATTTGCTTACCAAATCTGTTCCCCGGCTTCCAGCTCCTGAATAAATTACCTGCCCCTTCTCTCTGCCACCACTCCTCCCCCCTCAGCATGAAACGTGGACATGTTTTCTGGACAAAAGCTTGGAATGACAGCTCTGGGACTGAGCGTTCAGTCGCTAGTCCTGGGACATCCGTTTGCTACATGGTTGCAAGATTCCTAATGTTAATGGAATAGGCAGGGATTGCGGGCCCTGGGGCCTTATTCTGGCCACAGATTGATCCCTCGCTCCTAGGATCACCTATCTAGTGTCACCATTTTGCTCTCTGGAACCTGGGTGACTTGCCAGGCGAATGGTCATTAGAACGCTCATTTAGAGAGCACGTTAAACAACTCCTGTTGAAACATCTCGGAGCCCTTTACAGGACTGCCTCTGCCACTTGCCAGAGGTTACTGCTAATTGATGTCAGGCAGGCCTGTGACAAAGACTGTCGGTTTCTATTTGGTTTTGGTTTTCATGTAAGAGCTGAAGAAAGTCAAGGGAGAACGGGCAGCCACAACCCGCTGGTGTGTCCGGAAGTGCTTCTGCGTTCTCTGGCAAGCCATGCACACAGTGCTGTCGTCCATCGTGGAAGCTGGAGGGGCATGGTTCCGTTGTCCCTTTTAATGTCTGGTAGGAGGATGCTTCCCTTTCTGTCCCCAGTGCCTAAAATGCCACTAAAATCACCATTCCCCTCGTCCATGCAACATGTTAAGGAAGTCATGAAAGGCTCCCCAGGAGACTCAAGAGTAGCACCTTCTAGAATGTTCTTTGTCACAGTTCCACGATTCACTTCCAGGGCTTTGGCAACACAGGGTTCCTAGATTCTCCAGCTGGGGCTTCCCAGCCAAGGACAAAGACCCCAGCATCCTCTTCTGACTTAGAGTGTTACTAAAACAACATCGACAGCAACGAAAGGTAAAACAAACCAAAAATTGAAATGCTTGCACGCATAGACACCTGGCATGTGTACAAAGCAGATTTTTTACCCTAAAGTAATTAAAGCCTGTCACAGACTTGGCTGATCCTGCCTCTGGCTGGGTTCATGGCTTCAGATTCCAGGTCGCCTTCATCCTTGCTGCTTCATCAGAGGAAGCGGCTCTGTGGTCTTCTTGGGGTGTGTGTGGGGGGCAGAGGGCGACTTCAGGCATGGCTGGATTTCATTCCACCCTTGGCCTCTGAGCCCGAGCACCAGGTCTCCTGATCAGTCCTGAGGTGCTGCCTGGGCAGTCAGCAGTCCCAGGCCCTCGCTGCAGGAATCTCCAGAGCCCCTACCTGTCACCCTCTGCTCTCAGGCTGTGGGTGCTGGGCCTGTCCTCCCAGAAGCCTGCCTGCTGTATACTCCCCACTCTCCTCCCCATTGCTCCCCAGCCAGCCAGCACCACCGAAAACCACCTGTTTTGTGTTTTGAAACCCACCCTCCACCCTCACAGACCTCCCACTAAGTTCCAGTTTCCCGGCCAAGCTCCAGATTTAACGTCTCAACTCATTCAAAGAACATAAAAAAATCAAGTCTTGATTCTGCTGCATTTTCAAGTATTTCTTCCCTGCTTGGGTGACCGGGTCTCCCTCTTAGGAGAGGAATGGTCATGTAAAATTCTAAGTCTGGCAGCTCCCAGGGGTGGTCTTCACACTTGTCAGAGATCAAAATACCTGCAAAGTCACTGTCATCTCTGCAGGGCACCACGTAACAGACTCGTCCCCTCAAATGTGCCAGGAACAATTTTACAAGCAAAAACTGTGACCTTGTTATGTCATGTGCTATAAAATCACAACCACAAGTAAACAGGTTCACACACACGTACACGTGTGAAGGAAACTTCCCAATTCCCTGATTGGCAGTTTCTGAATGTGCTGGTGAAGTAATTGGTTCAATATTTTTTTTAGCCTTCTGCCAGCATTTGCTACCAACTAGCAGAACCAGGTGTCAAAGGTTAGAGGAAAAAACTTGGCCGATAAAAAGTTTAAAACTGACACAACTTTTTCTTTTTCTTTTCTTTTTTTTAATAATTATTTATTTTATTTTTTATTTATTCATTTATTGATTTTTTTAATTTGACCAGAGAGAGACAGAGGGTGAGAGTGACAGAGAGAAGAAGTAAGAAAGCAAGCCACCAGGTCCAATACTCGAACCCTGGTCAGCCATGTGGGAGTGTCCAGCGCCTTAACCACCACGCCACCTGCTGGTCCCAGAGTTTTTGCAGTAAA